AAAATATATATATATATATATATATATATATATTTACATATATTGTACACACTATTATATGTTATTGTATCAACTATTTCTTGAATTATTTGTATCAATAGAAAAAAGTAACACCAACACAAAATAGGAAGTACGATTCAAAATATTATTAAAATCAAGAATATATAGATCAAAGTTCAGAGGTGGCTAATATCCATAGCATTCCCACTGAAATCCATAGCATGGTTTATATCAAAATTAATTATCAACATCTATATATGCGAGAGCTTGTAGGCATAAGTAAAAAAGGAGGATCCCATGCATAGGAGAAGCGAACAGTGTCGAAACCCTTCAAGGGATAGCCGTTGATAAGGAGACAACTATCACCCTGTATGGAAAGAATTGATGAATTAACATTTTCTACACTTCGAAATCCTTTGCAAGCCAACCGTATGTGGCTTTGTACACAAGAACAATTGTTGATCAAAACAACGTTCCACTCAGGCTTGCCATCTATTATTCTCCCACTCCTTGTGGTCCCAATATTGATGTTGTTCAAGGAACAGTAACTAGACCCTGAAAATTTAGTGGATCAAACACAAGGAGAAAAGAGAGAAAATCTTGGTGAAACAAGAGAAAAAACGTAAAAGTTTAGTATTGGGACACAGTGAAAGGTTAGAAGGGAAAGAAAAATGGTAAAATTTTAAAGGGAAAAGAGTATACCTCTGATAACGACGGTAAGGAAGAGGATGGTAATAAGGTACTTGAATGTTATTGCCATTGTCCTTAGTGGGTGAGTTGTGTGGTTTTGATTGTCTACGTACTTAAATACCATGTGTTAGAAAACTCTCTTTAATGTGTTTAGTGACAGTATAATAAGTGAGATAAAATGTTGATTTTAATTATATATGCATATTCAACAATTTAATTATTGTATTTAAAATTAAATACTTTATAAAGATGTTTCAAATGGCCCCATGAACTAGACATGCCGATAAAAATTTCTTCAAAAGGAAAAAAATAAACTCACATGTGAATCGCTCTTCATTGGCTAGGAGTAAGAAATATTATCACACTTTTTTTTTTTAATATTCTTCCAATTATTAGTTGAAAATTACAATTTTAATGAGTTTACAACTAAATCATGAGAAATATTCTTTAAATGAGATGTAGTTTTGTAATTTTTAATAATTTTTATTCAATAATAAATAGTACTAATGCAAAAGAGATAATATAAAAAAAAAGGTCTTATACCAAGTGACACGAAGGTAATATCATTATAAACGTATAACAATTAATAACAAACAAACAAAACTGAAATATATTTATGGCATTATTAATTGTTAAATTATCATAAATGCCATAAATGATATAATTAAAAATTTAATAAAATTCATCTCCTCCTATTCACCTTCCCCGATTCAAGCACATTGTAACGGGTAAAGAAAGTGTTACATCATCTAACCATTGTGTTTTATTTTTTTTTATTACAAAAAAATTAAATTACGACAAGCTATCTATTGTGTGTTTATTAACATACACGTTATGAAAATTCAAAAAATAAAATAAAAAACCAAAATTTTTTATATTTATAAAAAATAAAATACGTCTAAACAAAATGTCATGTCTCGATGTCACATATAATCAAATCAAATTAAGTAAATTCAAAACCACAACATAAATTGAGGTCTAAGTCTAAAGATTTAATGGTCTGAGTGATTCAAATTGATGGAATAACACTAAAGCCAAGAAGTCCAAGAGGTGATGTATTGAAGGAGACAAAAGGAATGAGTTAGTGTTGAAAAAAAAAACATAGGAGGAGTGAGCCCACTTTTGGGCCTTAACTTCTAAGATTTTCTTAGCATAGCATTTATTCCTATTTTGTCCTTGTATTTGATTTCCTATTTTACCCTTGTATTTTGGGGTATTTTAGTCTTAGAATTTATTTTACTTGTATTTCCAATTTTACCCTTGTATTTTGGGGTATCTTAGTCATAGGATTTATTTTCTTTTGTATTTCCCATTTTACCCTTGTATTATGGGGTGCTCTAGATGATTAGGGTTTTTAATTTTGGGCTAGGGTGTTAATTAGAGGGTGACACATTTTTGGTGCTTATTGGGTCTATTTTTGGTGTTAGAAAGGCTTAGGCCCAAGTGGAGGGCAAAGGTTGCATGGTCTTATCATGCACCTAGATATAGCCAATCTAAACCCAAAGATTCCATCCTTGGCCACCAAGTTGCATCTAGGGTTCATTTGCATTTCATTTGGAATGCATTTGCCTACTCCAAATGCAACCCTAGATGCCTCCCCTCCTATAAATACCCAACACCCCACACCTTGTAAATACTTTGGATATTGAATATAAAGAGAGCCTTTAGTGCCTTTATATCTTTCCTTAGTCACCCTTGGCTATTTTCGGCCAAACCCTCCCATCTCCACCTTGAGAGAAACAACCCTAGAAGTGGCCTTCATCATCATGAAGTGAGCCAACCCTAGAGTACCCTTCTCAAGCATTTCCTCAAACACCTTCTACCCAACCTTCATTTTCGTCCATTCCATCATCATCCACCCTAAAACCTTGGTCCACCTTTGAAGAACTTGATCCTTGGAGAAGGCGTCCTCCTCCTTGCTCATCATCTCAAGTTCATGCAAGTAAGGATGCCATCATGTGGTATCTAGAGCCTTGGTTCTTCAAGGGTAACTTTTCCATCTTTGGTATTTTCGGTCATGTCATTTGTGTCTCCTTGAATGTCTAAATTGTTGTGCATGATTGAGTCATCATCTTGTCATATGTCATGATTCTTATTCCTCCTTTTCATGTATTGATTCATGCCTCATCATTCTTGTGAATCATCTTGGTGCTTTAGGCTTCCTTGCTAGGGTTCCTACCATTTTTTCTTTAAAATTGAGTTGCTGGAAATTTTTGGGCTGCATGATATAATGATGTTTTTCATTTTATAATCCATATGGTTTTGTCATAAGCTTGTTTCCTTTGAACTACCTTGAAAGAAATTCCAAGTTTTTATGTTTAGCCTTTGAAATGAACAAAAAATGACACGCATGCCACTTGTTTGATAAAATGGCCGTGAGTCCTTGATGTGCTTTAGAGAGTCAATCATGCATGCTAATTAGTTCTAGCATGTTCCACATTCCTAAAATATCATATGTGATTAATTAATTTCTTTGCACATACTTGCTTTAAAAATTTTGGCCACTTTGTGTATTCCAAAGGGGGACCTCTGAGAAATGTAGAGGAAAATTTAGATCATATAGTCGAGAGGGTACTGAATAGGCACGGATTTGAAACGGGGCGAAATGAGCACCCATACTTTGTATCTGCCTTTCCTGACGTACTATAAATATTTTTAATAATGTGTAATATATATGTAAAAGTAAGTAATTAAACACGTAGTGATAAATATGTTTTTTTAGTATGTTATTATGTATAATATTATTACTATACATATGTTTTCTATTTATAAATATTATATATATATATATATATATATGTATATTATTGAGATTAATATTAATACGACTAGGCGTTACATATATCCTTTAGTGAATGCAATCTCGTTCTAAGCAGGTAAGACCACAAAGTGAAATAATTGAATGTAACATTTAAAGAAAAATAATAATATTTATTTTTTAAAATATGACAAAAGCCAACGTATATCACTTTTAAGTGATTTATAATGCATTACTTTTACTCACTGTTGGATTAATCTCATCTTCATGGTCATACCCTATACCAACCACATTTGAAGTTACATAAAGAAAAAGAACCTTTGGGAGAAAAAATTGAAAGAAATTCATAGTGATAACTCAAATAATAAACAATATAAGATACAATATTATAGTATGTCTGAGTAAGGTTTAGGAATAATTGCGTACCCGGAATCAATAAAAGATCCATTCTTGTCGGTCTTGAACAATGTGAGAGAAGATTGCTTTCTTCTTGATAGGAGATGAAAAGGTAGAAGACAAAATGTATTTCATCATATAAACTGACTAATGGGTATCAGTTCTATATCCTTACCAGTAGAGATCAGGGACCTCTCAACGGGCTACTAAACAGTCCAACTCATCATAGACCATTTATCAAAAGCCCAATATGCATTACCCATAAATTAATAATAATGTGCAATATAATTGATATTAACATATAAATATAATTTATTAATTAATGTTAATCCATAATAATAATAATAATAATAATAATAATAATAAAATAGAGAGTAGTTATATAAATAAATATATAAATATAACATTCTTCTACTTGGATAACATTAATCAATAAATTAAATATATCAATTATAACACAAGTACATATATCAATTAACAATATAAGAAATATAAACATGAACCACAAAGATAGTATCTGATAGGGATACATACCTCATGTTTATATTTCATAAATAATGGTTAATGAAAAATATAATAAATATATGATCCCAAAAATGGTCTAAACAATTTTATATGCTAAAAGAGATGTAATGAAAACAACGTCATTGATAAATTTACATGAAAATCATAATAATAAAAATGTAAATTTTAGATTCTCACTAAACCAACACATCAAAAAACTTAACCACACCCATATGAGTTACATGTTTTTGAAAAAGTCCAATAGCTAATTCTTTAGTCAGTGGATCTGCTAACATATTTTATGTAGCAATATGCTCAATTCGAGTATGAAAATCCAAAACTTTCTCTCTAACAAATAGAAATTTTATATCAAAATGCGTTGAGCGAGTAGAACTTCTATTGTTTTGAGAGAAATGCATAGCAGCAGTATTGTCGCAATATATCACAAGTGGCCTAGAAATACTTTCAACAATATGAAAGCCAGAAATCAAATTTTTAAGACACACAACTTGACAAGTAGCCTCATAACAAGAGACATACTCTGCCTCCACGGTAGAAGAAGCTGTAAGAGTTTGTTTAACACTCTTCCAAGAAATAGCTCCTCCTGTCATCATAAAAACAAAATCGAAAGTAGATTTTTGGTCGTCAGGGCAACCAACAAAATCAGAATCAAAATAACTAATGACCTGAAGTTGATCAGACTTCTTATAGGTCAACATATGATCATTGGTTCCCTGCAAATATCTAAAGACCTTTTTAACAACTTTCCAATGACCTAAACCTGGGTCGCTCAAGTATCTCCTTAAAGCATTAACAGAAAAAGCAATATCGTGACGAGTACAAACTTGAGCATACAATATATATATATATATATATGTATATTATTGAGATTAATATTAATACGACTAGGCGTTACATATATCCTTTAGTGAATGCAATCTCGTTCTAAGCAGGTAAGACCACAAAGTGAAATAATTGAATGTAACATTTAAAGAAAAATAATAATATTTATTTTTTAAAATATGACAAAAGCCAACGTATATCACTTTTAAGTGATTTATAATGCATTACTTTTACTCACTGTTGGATTAATCTCATCTTCATGGTCATACCCTATACCAACCACATTTGAAGTTACATAAAGAAAAAGAACCTTTGGGAGAAAAAATTGAAAGAAATTCATAGTGATAACTCAAATAATAAACAATATAAGATACAATATTATAGTATGTCTGAGTAAGGTTTAGGAATAATTGCGTACCCGGAATCAATAAAAGATCCATTCTTGTCGGTCTTGAACAATGTGAGAGAAGATTGCTTTCTTCTTGATAGGAGATGAAAAGGTAGAAGACAAAATGTATTTCATCATATAAACTGACTAATGGGTATCAGTTCTATATCCTTACCAGTAGAGATCAGGGACCTCTCAACGGGCTACTAAACAGTCCAACTCATCATAGACCATTTATCAAAAGCCCAATATGCATTACCCATAAATTAATAATAATGTGCAATATAATTGATATTAACATATAAATATAATTTATTAATTAATGTTAATCCATAATAATAATAATAATAATAATAATAATAATAAAATAGAGAGTAGTTATATAAATAAATATATAAATATAACATTCTTCTACTTGGATAACATTAATCAATAAATTAAATATATCAATTATAACACAAGTACATATATCAATTAACAATATAAGAAATATAAACATGAACCACAAAGATAGTATCTGATAGGGATACATACCTCATGTTTATATTTCATAAATAATGGTTAATGAAAAATATAATAAATATATGATCCCAAAAATGGTCTAAACAATTTTATATGCTAAAAGAGATGTAATGAAAACAACGTCATTGATAAATTTACATGAAAATCATAATAATAAAAATGTAAATTTTAGATGATCATCTCAAGTTCATGCAAGCTAGGATGCCATCACAAATGCTTGAACAACAAGTCTACCTCTCCATGCTATTGGAATATGATTATTCAATCCAATACAAGTCTAAGTTCCCCAATATTGTACCTGATGCCTTCTCTCGCATCCTTGATTAGTCCACAGCCCATTGCTTCGTTCTTTCCATGCCTCAATTTTATTTTATTTTTTTATAGTTGCGTTGGGCCCTACATGTGGACCCTGAATTTTGTTCCTTTCATGAAACCATCCTTTAGAATCCCACTTTGTTTGCCGAGTACTATCTACATAATGACCTCATTTTATTTCAAGACAAAATCTAGATTAGTCCTACCAATCCATTCAAACAAGTGTTGTTTAACAAGTGTTGTTTAAGGAGTTCAACACCACCCCTCTCTTAGTTGCCATATGGGAGTCACCAAGACTTTTAAATGTCTCAACATCAATTTTTTTGGTCTCATATGTGCTTGGATGTTCAAAATTTTGTTGCTTAATGCCACACTTGTCAACAATTGAAATATGAAACCAAAAAACTAGTTGGATTACTCCAACCATTTCGTATTCCTTCTACCATATGGGAGGGTTTGCCTTTTGATTTCATCACTAGCCTTCCTCCTTCTCAAGGCTACATAGTAGTACTCGTGGTGGTTGACCAATTCTCTAAGGGAGCTCACTTTGGTCCATAAAAGAGAAAAAGACAAATGGAAGAGAAAAGGCTTAGGAAAATGATTGAGAAAATGATTCACTATGTATTGTTGAAAGCAATATTGAATATATACAACCTATCATCTACGAAAGGATAAGGACAAAAGGAATAACAGAAAAAATACAGCTCAGAGGGTGGTACACCTCATTCCTATCTAGAATCCTCTATTATGTACTGACTAGAAAGATATTTATGGTTATATCTAGAATCTTAAGGAAACAAATATCTTCACAATATGGACTTATGTATCATTATACAATTGGGATGAAGTTGTTATAATATGGACTTATGTATTGTTATAGAATTGGGCTGAAGTTGTTGTTTTGACTATTCTTGATGCTTTTGGTTCTTCTTCGTTTAGCCCCTCACAAGTTGGAGGCTTGAAAATGTCAAGAAGCTCCAACTTGGATAAATTTAAGTGAAATAGTCGTGGAGAAAGCGCCTTAGTGAAGATATCTGCTAGTTGATGTGATGAAGAAACTGGTAGAAGATGCATGAGACCAGTAAGCAATTTTTCACGGACAACATGGCAATCAATCTCCAAAAGCTTTGTTCTTTCGTGAAAAACTGGGTTGGCGACAATGTACAAGGCACTTTGGCTGTCACAGTAAAGAACGGGGCACTTGGTAAAAGGAATTCTCAAATCTGCAAGTAGGAAAGAAAGCCATTGGAACTCACAGGTTGCAAAGGCAAGGGCTCTGTATTCTGCTTCTGTCGAAGACCGAGAAATAGTAGATTGCTTCTTGGCTTTCCAGGACACCAGAGAATTACCAATAAAAAAATAATAACATGTGATGGAGCAACGTGTATCAACACATGTGGCCTAATCGGCATCACTGAATCTAAGAAGTTGTGTGGAGGACTTGTGGCTGAGAAATAGACCTTTTCCAGGATACCCCTTGAGATAATGGATCACTCTTAAGGCAGATTGAAGATGAGTTTGAGTTGGTGCTAACATAAATTGACTAAGCTGCTGGGTAGCAAAAACTATATCAGGCCTTGTGCTTGTTAAATAGATAAGGCGACCCACTAAGCGTCTATATGACAAAGGATCATTCAAAGGTTCACTAGAGTCTTGATGAAGATGCATGGAATCGTCCATTGGAGTGGAAGAGGGTTTACACCCCATGAGACCAAATTCTTTGATCAAATCCAGACAGTATTTATGTTGACATATGGATATTCCTTTGTTTGAATGAGCCATTTCTATACCCAAAAAATATTTCAATTGACCAAGATCTTTCATGTGGAAGAGAGAGTGAATAGTGGTTTTAATTTCAATAATTTCATAAGCACAATTTCCAATAAGCATGATATCATCAACGTAAACAATGAGAGCTGCGTAGGCAAATTACGTGAATTTGATGAATAAACTATGATCAGCATGTGCTTGAACATATCCACAAGACAACAGTAAAATGGATAAATTCTCATACGATTTTCGGCTTGCTTACTTCAATACGTAGAGTGACTTTTTGTGTTTGCAACAATGGTTGGAGGGATGGCTAGTGAGTCCAGGAGGTATCATCATATAAACATCTTTTGAAATGTCTCCATGGAGGAAAGGGTTACTAACATCGAGTTATTGCAAGTCCCAATTGTGAATGTATGCCAAAGCAAGAACGACTCGAATTGTAGCCATTTTCACAATGGGAGAGAAAGTTTCAAGGTAGTCAATGCCTTCAATTTGTGAGTAACCTTTCGCTACTAGGCGATCTTTGTAGCATTCAAAGGATCCGTTAGGCCTTCGTTTGATCTTGAAAACCCATTTGCAACCGATGGGTTTGACAGTGAGAGGTGTGGCTATGATGTCCCAAGTTTGGTTCTTCATTAAAGCTGCTATTTCGGCTTGCATTGCCTCCTGCCAGAAAGGCTTAGTGATGGCCTCATGATACGATTTTGGTTCTTGCTCAGAATAGAGACACATTAGGAAATAAGAGTGAGAGGGAGACACATGAGTGTAATCAAGGACAGATTAAATAGGATACAGGACCTTGGAAGAAGATTGGTTGGAGTCTTTTGGAACAAGAGCCAAATCACTTGAAAAAGTGTGACAATAATAATCATTAAGGTAGCTTGGATGAGTTGTGATGCGTTTGGAATGTGGTGGTGGGGCTGGATCTGGAGTTGGTACTGAAGTAATGGAATGACTATGTGTGGGCCAGAGAGGGTTGATAGCGCGAAGAGGGTGAGGAAGGAGGAGTGGTGGTATTTAGAGAAGCTGAATTAGGACTAAGGGTGGGTTGAGATATGTGAGAGGGTTGATGGGAGATGGGTGGCTTAGAATAGGGTTGGTGTAAGTAATCTGTGTCAGTTTCTAGAAGGGATTAAATGTGGATTGGGCTGGTATTAGAATCAGGTTGAGAGTGTATGTGGGTTTGGGAAGTTGGATTGGGTGGTAGAAAAGGAAAAAACGTCTCATTGAATTGAACATTGCTTGATACAAAAATTTCTTTGTTATTGATATCAAAAATAACATAGCCTTTAGTTCCTGTTTGAAAACCCAAAAAAATCCCACGTCTAGAGCGGGCATCAAATTTTTGGCGAGATGGATTTGTGGAGGCATAACAAAGACAACCAAAAATTTTAATCATGGAAAAATCTGGAGGTTTGTTATATAATAACTCAAAAGGGGTTTTATTTTTAATAACTGGAGAAGGAACACGATTTATTAAGAAGACTGCATGTTTAATAGCATAAGACCAAAAATGTTTTGGAAGATTAGATTGAAACATGAGTGCCCTAGCCACATTGAGAATGTGTTGATGTTTTCTCTTCACTCGTCCATTTTGTTGTGGGGTATAAACGCAACTTGTTTGGTGTAAATTGCCTTTTGATGAAAAATAATCTTTTTGAAAAAATGCAAGCCCATTATTAGATCGAATACACTTAATGGTGGCATGAAATTGATTTTTAATTAAAGAAATAAAATTTTGGACATGTGTTCGAACTTCCCTTTATATTTTAATAAGACAAATAAATTGGAAGAACTATTCATACTTGGAGAGTGTGACAAACGTTTTTGTTTAGCCAAATGACAAATATCACAATTATCATCAACATGTTTAGAAATAAGAGGAAAACTCATGTGCAAAACATTGAGACGCTTTCCGGAAAGATGTCCTAGTCGAAAAATCCAAAGGTTGGAGGTGTTAATGGGAGGGGTGGTGAAATTATTGATGGAGGAGGCAGTGTTAATCATCAAAGATGCTAGTCCTCCCAAACGCGGATGGCAGGAGATTTTGTCAAAGCAAAGAAGTGTTTTTCCAAAAAAATAATATCACTTGCAAAATACTGCTAGGATGAAAACCTGCAAAGGGCATCTTAGGCAAAAAAAAATAAAAAAATAAAAAAAACAAAAATCAAAAGTTTCCGCTAGGACACATCCTAGGCAAAAATTAGGGATCTAAAAAGGATAAAAATAGCAAGTGATGCTTCTCATAGTTGAAAGCTAAAAGGCGGCTTGAACACTTCTACAAGGGGAAAAATTCTGTGAAGACTCTGCCTGAGGCTCAGACATGTAGTTCAAAATAATTAGGAGAATGATTATAATAATTATCCAAGGAAATGTTTGTTTAAAAAACTTAAACACTCACCTATCTCCACTACCCATTCATTCTAAATCTTCCTACCTCAACTACCTATTCATTCTAAATCATTTTTTTCTTTCCTTTCTGCCTTGTCCAATCTTAATGACGTATATTGTTGATGGTTGTCAAAATTTAAACAAGTACAAAAAAAGAGAAACAAAAAAATGAAAATGACCCGCTGGGATGAAAACTCGTAAAGGGCATCTTAGGAAAAAAATTAGGGCAAATGAAAATAGCAAAAATACTCGCTAGGATACATCCTAGGCAAAAGTTAGGGTTTCTAAACAAAAAGAAAAAAAAAAGATCCCCAAGATGACTCAATACACCAAACGGCCAATATGACTAATGTTGCACATCAATCAAAGCAGTCCATTCGTGGGAAAGAGAAAAGAAAAGCCACCATCTAAAAAGGAGGAAACTAAAATATGCATCGCATGCATCTCAAAAAAGCATCTCATAGACTTAGAAAACTTTCTTTATCAAAGGAGAATTATTCAAAATATGCAATAACTACCATCATGCATAAATAAGCATTCAACATCTTTTTGCATCTCAACAAGAAAAGCCAAAAAGGGAAACACGAGTTCCGATTGATATCATCCCAACAAGAGGCAAAAGCAGCCCAAACTAAGGGCATCAACAATCATCAATCAGGAAAGCAATCAGGAAAGCATAAACAATCAGTCATCAACGAACCAAAGGGACTCCACAATAGATGCCTGGAAAGACATCACAATACTCACATGGTAAGGGCAACACTAGAATCCCTATCACCCATCTTCCTCTGCCCACCAGCACAATGGCACCACCTACCAGCAATCCTCATCTTCATCAGACACCCTCGCCAAAGAAAATGGGGCAATCAAATCACAATACCAGTAGCCATCCTGGAGAGGCCGGCATAACAATACTCACTATCAGCAGCTAGCCTGGAGAGGCCGGCATAACAATACTTACAACATCAACAGACGGCCTGGAGAGGCCGACATAACAATACTTACAACATCAGCAGGCGGCTTAAAGAGGCTGGCACAATAATACTTACAACATCAACAGGCGGCCTGGAGAGGTCGGCACAATAATACTCACAATACCAGCAAGCGGTTTGGAGAGGTTAGCACAACAATACTCACAATATCAGCAAGCATCCTGGAGAGGTTGGCACAACAATACCCACAACATCAGCAACACGGCCTAGAGAGGCCGACACAACAATACTCACAATATCAGTAAGTGGCCTGGAGAGGCTAGCACAATAATACTCATAATATCAGCAGGCGGCCTGGAAAGGTTGGCACAACAATACTCACAATATCATCAAGCAGTCTGGAGAGGCTGGCACAACAATACTCACAATATCAACAGGCGGCCTGGAGAGGCCGACACAACATTTACAACATCAGCAGGCGGCCTGGAGAGGTCGACGCAATAATACTCACAATATCAACAGGCAGCCTAGAGAGGTCAGCACAACAATACTCACAACATCAGTAGGCGGCCTGGAGAGGCCGACACAACAATACTCACCATTAGAAACTGGCCTGTAGACACCCAATTTCGTCCGGGGGCATACAAACAAGGAAATGGACCTCTGTTATGAAGGGAAGGAGCTCCCAAAGCATGCAAACAACAGGACAGGACATCAGAAGGCCTAAAGCCCGAATAAATTGGTTTTAGTGGCCCGGAACGCGCCGTTCCAAGCCACAAAAAAGGCCTAAAAACCTTTTCTGGAACGGGTCGTTCCAAACCGCTAAATAGCCTAAAAAACCTAGTTTGAAACGGTCTGTTCTAGTAATGCATTTTTTGTGTTAATTTCAACCCTAGAACGGGCCGTTCTGGTTTCAAGACAGGCTGTTCCAGGGTAAGAATTTAACATATAATGTTCAGATCCAGAACGGGCCATTCTGGCACCTTTCTGATGTCTATAAATAGACAGCTTGGGCACAATTCTCAAGGCCACAAAATTTCATCTCAAACTCCTTAGAGTTCGAAATTTCTCTCTCTCTCCCTCCTATTGTATTTCTTAAGTTTTGTGAGGCACATTGTAGTGTGAAAGGTTGCCGCAAAGCACCTAAAATCTCCATAGTTGAAGATCTAATAAAGCTTGCTACGAGGTATTACTCATCAATCTCTTGTTCTATCTTTCTCTTCTTTTATTTCACTTATTGCTATAATAAACGCAATCATGTAGATATCTTAGGGTTCATCGTGTAATTTAATTTTCATGTAAGTAATCATTAATAAAGGGGATTAAATATTTAAACTATTAATTCTTATTACATTATCTTCATTATAGGGTACCAATTTAGGGCGTTGTAGGAGTGCTTAATACCTTCCCTACACGTAACCGACTCCCGAACCCAATTCTGGTTATCGAGGTCATTATTGAATCTTTAAAAATCTTTTATTTTTCCAATGTTTTGAGTAAAACATTGGTGGCGACTCCATGAACCTATTTTCAAAACCATTAATTAAAGATTAGTCTGGTGTCCGAACATTCCTTAATTAATGATACTTTCAAAAGGATGTCTAAATCATAGGTCGCAAGATCGGAAATTTTTGGGTTGCCACATGGCCTGGAGAGGCCGGCACAACAATACTCACCATTAGCAACTGGCCTAGAGAGGGTGACACAACAATACTCGCTATCAGCAATTGGCCTGGAGAGGCTGGCACAACAATACTTACCATCAGCAACCGGCCTAGAGAGGTCGGCACTCAAAACTTCAGCAACCGGCCTGGAGAGGTCAGCATACTCTTCAACAAGCTATGAATAAAAGAACGCACTATCACAAGAGAAACAATGGAGCATCTACTTGAAGACTGAAGATCAGGTGTACAGTTTATCACCCTTGTTACCTAATAGAGTACGCAACCAACACTCAACTGCTCTAAAGGATGAGGATACGAGCAAATACACCTATTCAAGGTAAACAAACGTAGAAGCGCCAACACCAAAGAGACGAGGAGAAGACCCGGACGAAATGTCTACGTCTTTACTTGCCTTTGGAAAAGAAACACAGTTATTCCAAAGGACAAGTAAAGAGGGGCAACTATAGACACCCAATTTCATCCGGGGGCATACAAACAAGGAAATGGACTTCCATTATCGAAGGAAAGAAGCTCCCGAAGCATGGAAACAACAGGACATGTCATCAAAAAGCCTAAAACCCAAATAAGCTTGTTTAGTAGCCCGGAACGGACTGTTCCAAAATCGAAACGTGTCGTTCCAATTTACAAAAAAAGGCCTAAAACCCTAATTTGGAACGGGCCGTTCCAAGTTCCTAAAAAAAGCTAAAACCTAAGTTAATTTGGAACAGGCCATTCCTAGTTAATC